AAATATCATTTTTAATAATGGGAATTTCAAATCCTGTAAATAAAATCAATATTTTTCTAGGTCCCTGATAAGAGTAGTGAGAAGCATAGTCATTAGAGTGATCAGGATTATGTGTGTATTAATTTACTAACAATTTCTCATTCCATTCTATTCTCCCTCTTGTTTATTACATCTCTTCTCACATTACAGCTGTTTTCAAAAGGATGTGGAAAGGCTATTTTTACGATATATATATATGTATGGGAAATCGGGAAATTGGAAAATCTGATTATTAATAATCAGTGATGTAGTAATATAATAAAATAAACTTTTGATTGTTGTATTATTATATAAACAAAAGTTATAACAATATATAGCTTTTTTTATTTCTACTATTGTATTCATGGCTAATATACTATACAAGTCACTCTCATTATAGTGAACTCTCATTATAGTGAAGATTTGATATAGTGAAAAATTTTGGATTCCGGAATTATTAAACTTCAACTCGATATAATGAAGTTTATATAGTATTCTCTCGATATAAGCTATAGTGAAGTTTTTTTTCTCAGCCCGAGGACTTCATTATAACAAGAGTGACTTGTATACAAAACTTAAATATAAACGAGGAACTTGCTTTGAATGCAGAAAGTGTTTGTATTGTGGATATTCTACAAATACAAAAATGTAATTGCGATATTACAAAATCACCATATAAAGGCAATAGTACTGATGCTGTCAAGTATGTATATACACGAATTTTTACTCCCAATTGGACAGTAGATCAAACTGCTTTCATTCATGACAAAGTATCAAAATATAACTATGCAGTAGATTTAAAGGAGGCTTTTAATTTTTTACTTTGTTCACGATGCAATAGTGGATTACTCAAATTAGTATCTACTAAAAAAAAATTGCTATCTAATTCAGTAAAGAATATGAATAAGAAGGCTTCTAAAAAAATTAAATTGGAACCTGAAATATGTGATCTTACTATAGCAGAAGAGAAAAGCTTTTATGATTCAGTATATTATTATGACTAGAGATGTGCAAATGCAAATTTTTTTAGTGTTGCATCACATAATGCAGCATTATATTGCATAATGCATTATGTAATCCTGTGCGTATAATATAGATATCTTAAAACCTATATGCAGTGAATAGACTTTGAATTATTACTGAAAGGTTATCAGATTCAAAAACATAAACTATTAGATTTTATAGTGGAAACAAACCTGGTAGATTAAATTTTTATTTGATTTTACAGGCTATTACTATTGATAGAAACAAGTTTCTATAAAGTGATTGTGATGAAATAATATAGACCAAAAATATATAATAACTTCTATATGCATTTTTAAATTTTAGACAACTTGCATCGCATTATGCAGCATTATGTAGTATTCAACATCGCCTGCATAATATATACAGCATATCTCTATTAATAACATTGGCAATGATTTTTTAATTAAAAAAATAAAAAAAAATTTTAACAAATATGGTGGTAGAATAGTCAAATTATTCTTAGCAAACGAAGATATGAATAAGGATGCCCAAACTACCAAAAAAACTAATGAAGCTAACCAGAATATTGATAATGATAATTAGAATATAGATAAATACTTTCTTATTATTTTAAATGCCTCTGGGATTTATACATCAGGAAGTTAAACCAATCATTAACTTATATAAATTAAACGGTATTATTAAATAAGTACTTGCTAATAATATTTT